TGCGTTTGGACACAACAACCGAAAATCGTTGTACATTAACTAAACCGTACACAAGTTTCTCGATAAGGGGCAACTAATATTCTTTTTTGCTCGTTTATATAAAGCAGTGGATAAAAATATACGTATATGCGAAAGGTAAATTTATCTGTTTAAATGAACACCACCAATATTTCTTGCAAACACACATTGATTTACATCTTGTATTTCGCCTCCGACACAGAATTGTTTTCGAACAAAATTACGCAGAAACGCTTACTCGTTCGTTTTTAGGCATGCCATTGTTACGAATTTCGAAAGTTCGAAAATACGATTCGGATTGCAGCATACTATTTCTACGATTCGTAGCAAAATTCGAATACGAAAGAGTTGCAGAATAGGGGTAATAGAGAGAATAAAGATATGTCTGTATGTATTTTTTTTTTTTGGTTTTTACCGACGATGAAGACATTTTTCTAAAATTTCCTCTGCAGAGAATAGCGAAGAACATAGAAATCATCAAACATTTTAATTTTAGAATTAAATGGCATAAGGTGATTTATTTAATATTGATTAGTTTTTAGATAGGCGACAACACTGTCTCAAAATATGGTATACAGCTATCTCATACACTTTTCATTTTATATACGGTTATATTGTATTAGTAAATATTTTATTTAAATACCCTTTTCGTAGTTTTTTTCGAAAGGTGGTAACCCTATTCAACATTTTTTTCTATATTAATATGGTTTATGCATTCTCAGCAACATGCGCTTCATTTATATTTATTTTTTTCTGATGTTTCAGATATGGCAACACCATTTTTCTAATTTCTTACAAACCTTCTACAGACAGAAAGAAACAAAATGAAATAAAAACGAAGCAAATCCGTTGAGCCGTTCTTGAGTTATACGAAAACACACGAACAGCAATTTATTTTTATATATAAAGATGTGAAAGAGTGTCGCAGTTAAATCGCGAAATTAAAGAATAAAAAATGTGTAACCATCGGAAGGTCTACCGCGACAAAAAATTAAAAGTCATATATCTCGCGTATTTATGGACCAATTTGTCTGCTTTTTACAACGCTTTTATTAACTGCAATGTTGTATGCCCAGACCACCATACTATAAATATAGCAAAGGTATTTATGGCAAACCTAGTCTAGATATCAACCTCGTCGTAGGTATCACATCAAAGACATACAATTAGAAAAACTCTAGAGATAGATGTCGCCTCGCCAGAAGAAGTTAAAAATATGCACTATATACGCTACAGCGTAAATGGACGATACGCCATTTCTTTAAATGAAATTAATTGCTGCTATATGTATGTATGTATGTACATATGTAAGCATATACTAAATGTGAGCAAACAACTTTTTGCTTGCATAGTCTTCTGTTCTCTTACACTGCAAGTTGAATTATTTTAATATCTATTGCAAAATTTTGTACATACAAGACTAAAAAGTAGAAAATAAATAAAATAAAATAAAACTTTTTAATATACAACGCTTTTATAAATGGACTAAAAAGTAGAAAATAATATTTCTCAGTCCCACAGAATTTGTTTTGTTTACTTTTGATTTTGAAATTTTAGTAAACGCAATTTTAACATGCTTTGGTAAAAACAACCATCTGCATAGCAATGCCCTAACTGAGTAGTTGGCGAAAACAGCATTTACAAATTTCGGGTTGTGTAGATCAAACTCCGTTAAGGGGAGGATCAAACTTGTTGGGGATGGTATGAGTATGATGAGCGCGTCATATTCATATCTATGGCAAGTTACAGCCAGTTTCACCAGATTCATTTAAGTGAAAATTACTTTGATTTTCGAATTTTTGGTTTCACCAATCCAGTGTAATTTGTTTTTAATTTCGATTTAAGTGACATATGCTCTTCACTTAAATAAAAATTAAATCAGAATAACCACACTCAGAGGTGTTACACCTTTCATCACCTGATCATTGTGTATCTGCTGCTTACTTGTATACCAGCCCTGCCAAAGCTTTCAAAAGTTCTCAGTACAAATGGAAGCTTTCGCTGGCCTGGTCTGTTTTACAACCACTTTTTACTCACTAAAATAAATAGCTTATTGAAACTGAAAATAATTTAAATGAGAATTAAATAAAAACTTTAATTAAAGTTAATTTTCGAGTTTATGGTTTCACCAAATTTGTTTCTAATTTTTATTTAAGTGACCTTTGCTCTTCACTTAAATACAAATTAAATCAGAATAGCCACACTCGAGAGATGTTACACGTTTAATCAGCTGATCAATATACACACACCACAATTTTGTGTATATGCTGCTTACTTGTATACCAGCCCTGCTTTTACCACACAGCGCGTAAAAGCTTTCAAAAGCTCTCAGTACAAATGAAAGCTTTCGCTGGCCAAGTCTGTTTTACAACCACTTTTTACTCACTTAAATAAAGCGCTTATCGAAACTGAAAATAATTTAAATGAGATTAAATAAAAAATTAAATTAAAGTGAATTTCCACTTAAATGAGATTGGAGAAACGCAGCCTTATACACATACATCAATGTCGTTGTGCATATGCGTACATCAGAGTGGTGGCGTTTCCCTGATATAGACGTACTTATATCCAAAATATGCTGAGTGGCGGGGAATATCAAAATAGGCACTCTTTGCTTACCACTGACTGCCAATATAGAAGTATTCCATATGTATATGGGTATTTCCTTGCGTCACATACGTGACAGAGTACGTTTCAATGAGATACAAACAAAGAAAAACATTTGTTTTCTTTTACTTTTTTTAGACCCTTGTAGAGCACATAATTGGCCTTTATATTTAGCCGAAAAACTAAAACAATCGAACCGCATGATCCTTAAATATAAGCAATGAGAGAGAGTAAAATAAAATAAAACTTTTTAATATACAACGCTGATGAAAGGTGTAACACCTCTGAGTGTGGTTATTCTGATTTAATTTTTATTTAAGTGAAGAGCATATGTCACTTAAATCGAAATTAAAAACAAATTACACTGGATTGGTGAAACCAAAAATTCGAAAATCAAAGTAATTTTCACTTAAATGAATCTGGTGAAACTGGCTGTAACTTGCCATAGATATGAATATGACGCGCTCATCATACTCATACCATCCCCAACAAGTTTGATCCTCCCCTTAACGGAGTTTGATCTACACAACCCGAAATTTGTAAATGCTGTTTTCGCCAACTACTCAGTTAGGGCATTGCTATGCAGATGGTTGTTTTTACCAAAGCATGTTAAAATTGCGTTTGCTTAAACATCCATATGTATGTATGTATGTATGTATGTGCTTTGGTGTGTTTATTCATACATACCCTGCAGAAAATCTGACTAGCCTAGAACTAGCGTAGAACTAGACCTTTTGCCGACAGTACCAGTTCTAGCTCAATACCCAAACAATGCTTTCAACTGTCCAGTTTTACACGGCGATGTCATTGGCGGTGGCAATTGTCGCCCAGTGCATTACTTTGCAACCAGTTTTTAACCGGTTCCATTTCGGACAGTTTTTTTTATAAGAAAACATTTTTGCGATTCGATTTTTGTTTTCGTTTTTTCTTTTCTTTTGCAGATTCCGTTTTTGTTACATATTTTATTTAATAAAAAAAATTGTAAGCGGCATGCAACAATTTAAGTTCATTAATTTTGAAAACTCACAACTGCCTCCACCGCGATTTGAACTCGCGACCAACGATGGTTGAGTCGGAGGTCCTCTCGCTGAGCTACTTTCGTATTGTAAGAGTAGTGAGCATTTGCACATATACACCGCAAGTTTCAACTGTCCCGTTCTGCATTCCTTTTGCACTAGTTCAGAGATAGTTCTGAGATATGTAGTTCGGAACTAGCGCTTTGTCAGACTGTCTCTAAATTTTACTGCAGGGTATCTACTTATGTATGTATGTATCAGGGCTGTTGCGAATATTCGCATTCGCAACTGCGGAGCTTCCGCAATAATTTTATGCGCATTCGCAATAATCAATGCGGAGCTTTTGCGAATGCGAATGTTGTTTTTGTAAAACGTATATCTGGGAAACAAAATGACAAATTTTAGCCAATATATTTTTGCCCCACATATAAGTATTTCTGTAGCAAAACTGTTTAGAAGTCAGATTTATCAGTTTTGATAAAATAGTCTCTAAACATATTCAGGCCTGTTCTGGTTTTCGATTTCGAGTGAATTTTTCGAATTCGATTTGACTACCTGTTCTGGGCTTCACACTTCGACTTAATTTTTCGATTTCAATTCGATTGCTTTTATGCAACTAATTAAAAATTGAATGTACTTTTTAGCCATACAATGAAATCGAGTTTAAGAAAAAGCTGTTCTGGTTTTCACATTAATACATGATTAAATGGAAATGAAACTAATTTCCAAAGTAAAGGGTTGCTATCTCTGTTAAGAAACAAGTGGAATACCTTGAAACAAATATGGCAAACAAATTAAGTAAGCCAAAGCTATTTTTAAAGCTTTTTGAGTTACATTTTTCGTTTCTAAGTAATTATAAATGATTTTTACAATTATTCAAAACTTTTAGTTGATTTGGTAATGCAAAAATATAAAACCAAACACTACTCTAAGGTTTGAAAAAATTGTTTTGCTTATACAAGGTAACCCTGTCATCTTGTTTACTTTTGTCAATCAGCTGTTAAGCTTAGTATCCAAAGAAGTAAGAAGTAAGAAAAGCAAAAACTCCATATAAAATGACGTACAAGAAATGGCTAAGAAATTTTCTTGAGTCAAATTTCCTTAAGGCAGTACGCAGTTCTTCAGAAATTTAGTACGCTTTCTACTACGGTTTTCTAAAGTTTTTTGTGAAAAAAGAGCACAAGGCAACCCAGGTTTGCAACAGAAATATATGCCCGTTCCATTATTTCTTGAGGAAAGAGTGAGGCAACAGGCTGTGAGGTATAAAAAATGTCAAAATTCCTTGGACACACACGCGAAATAATGGCAATTTTTTCTTGACCGTTTTCTTGAGAGCTGGATACTAAGCTTTAGCAGGAATACAAAAATTATGGCCGGCAAAATGTAAGTACAAGCTTTTGTTGAATTTATTGCAAATTTGTTTAATTTTAATGCATCTAAACGTTTTTATTTCAGGGGTAAACATAAGAACAGCCAACAAGAACAGATTTTTATTAATTGTATGCGTGAAAATGTAGATTTGGCAAAAGGTCACATAAAAGGTGACAAAGTCGCTGCGGACGCAAAATGGGCGAATGTTGTCTCCTCTCTCAATAGTGCTGGCCCGCCAATTAAAGATGTAGCTGGATGGAAAAAAGTAGTGTATATTGCTTGCATTATTGTATTTGTTTACTAAGTTTCCTTTTGTATAGGTATGGATTGATTGGAAAAGTACAATTCGCAAAAAGCTTGCACATAACAAAAAGGAAACAACTGCAACAGGTGGTGGTCCCTTTGCGCAGCTGCCATTAACTGCAGTGGAAGAAGAAATTGCTTCGTTTTGTGGTCTGTATTCGATGGCAGAGGGAATGAAAGGTAGCAAGACCTTTGGTTCTGTCAATGCAGCAATGGAAAGCAGCCAAAATGAAGAAAATTGTAGCGTACCAGACGCAGAAGAAGGTGAATCTCCTCCGAAGCCAAAACGAAGGCGACGTACGATGCCGGATGATTTAGAAGGCCTATGCAGTACCCAAAATGAGGTCTTGGAGCGTTTGGCTGAGAACTTGAAGCAGCTCAGTAGGAATATTGAAAGGCAAAATGGAATTCAAGAGGAAGTTCTTCAAATACTAAAAAATAAATTTCAATAGTTTTTTATGTGTATTTAACATATGTGAGCAATATCAAATGATCCCTTATACAAATAAATGAAATTCAAGAGCGACTATATATATATATATATATACATATATATAAATATATTCATATATAAATATGTGCCCAGTGTGTGTGTGAAAGTGGTTAAAGTAACATCACACCTTTTGTGATTAAAAAATGGTAATTTGACTGTATACATATGAACGCGTCGAATATTCGTCCAACTACATTTGCCTAGGGTCAAAAGCTTTATCATTAGTTTATGAAGATAAAACGTTTACAGATGCGCTCAGTTACAAGTAACTGGTCATTTAAGCACAAAAGATGTGATTTGATTTGGTTACTCAATGCCTTGTTAACGCTAACTGCAAGTTAAACATCGTTAGCGACTCCATAAGACTCCAGTGACACAAGCAAATGACCACGTGTTGATTTTTTTTTATATTCGTAAAGTTTTCTGAGCTACATTTTTTTTGTTATTTTTCTATAAAAATACTTAACGGCCTTCCGCGTTTTATTTCATTAGAAATTCATGCTTATATGGAAAAAGGAGCAAAAATCCGTCAGCAAAAAAATTCTCAAAAATCACCACGATTTTTTTTACCTGATTAAAACTTGTACTTCATTAGACTAAAATTGTATGGGCTGTAAAACTGCATACTCAAAAATGTTCTAAACATTCAGAATAAAACCGCAGAATCCGTTTACAATATTTTACAAAAATTTTCCCAAATTTAACAATATCAGATTGAAAAATAAATAACCTAAATCAATGAAGACGCAATAGCGTCTCTTATTGCAGAACTATTGCCATCTGCAATTATTGCATCTGCATCTACCTCATCCTCAATTTCAATGTTTATTGGCTCAAGTGAGGTTTCGCTCTCACCGGGGATCTGTATATTTCGTCTGCGACACATATTGTGCAAAGCACAACACACGTTTATTAATTTGCAAACGAACCTGGGGTCATACTGCAACGTGCCTTGTAAACATCGAAATCGGCTTTTTAGTAATCCAATGGTGCGCTCCACAATGTTTCGAGCTGCTGCGTGGCGGTTGTTAAAAATATGTTGCGTAGATCCGTTTTGAGGGGACCTGTATGGTGTCAATATTTGGTATATTTAGCCTTGAAAAATATTCTCTAGCTTCACTGCTATTCCAAATAAAGGAATCGTGACAAGAACCAGGATGTGTGCTATCAATTGCTAAGTCTCCATATTGTAGTTGCAGACCTACAAGCCAAAGATTTTAGTATAGGATGAAACGAGTAAATTGTTGGAATACGAAATATTATTGCATTCAAACTATAATATCCTTTTCGGTTTAAAAATACTGATTCATCCACAACTGGCTTTAGTATTTTGACGTGTGTACCGTCAACACAGGCAATAACGCCAGGCAAAGAAAATTTTTCGTAAAAGTACTCCTTGGATTTTGCGATCTCATTCGGCCTCATTTGTAATTGTATGGCTTCATAACAAAGTTGCTCTTCCATGTGATTGACAACGTTGTGCAAAACCTTTGAGAAAGTGCTTCTGCCAATGTTAATGTCATGGTCTTTCGCTACGCCTAACTGATATGAACCGGTTGCAAGAAAACGAAGCACTGCACCTAGTTGTATTGACTTTCGTATTTGCGGATGTTTCATAAACGGTGAAATTTTATTTAAAATAGTTTCAAACATTTCTTTGTCTATTCTGAATGACTCCAGAAACCTGAATTTGGGTATATTTTTAATAAAAGTTTAAAGAATTAAATGAAATATGTGACTTACAGTCGATCCGGCTTGTCGAAGATACGTGATCGCTCTCTCAAATGCCTGTTTTTNGGGGAAAAACCCACTTTTCGTAGGAATGGTATAGAATTTTTAAAAATCAATATTTTTCTATCGGAAAACTCTGTTTATCTGCAGGAGATTCCCAGTAATAATACCCAATTGTTTAGTTAATAATTTTTTCATCGCAACTATAATTTATATTTCCGCCAAAAACCCGAAAAATGCAATAGGGGGACAATAAAAATAAAATAACATAAACAATTGGATATCATTATTGAAAGTCTCCTGAAGAGAACCAGGGTTTTCCGATCGAAAAATATTGAAGAATTCTATACCATTTCTACGAAAAATTGTTTGTTTGCCATATAAAAATACATAGAAAACTTTGGGCGTTTTGAGCGACCTCTAAATATATTTTTATTTCAAAATAAAAAATAAGGGTATACTTTTTTCGATATAGAACAATCCTGGGGGGTGAGAGCATTACAATTTCGACTTGACTGTTTTTAAACCTCCCTAATGTACATACAATAGCGTGGGCCGAAAATTCGCTTTAGAATTTTGATTGGTAATAGCAAAAATATGGTTCATTATGTTCTATAAACGTTCTGTGTGAAAGATGACAATTTTTGGTCCATATCTTAGGCTCGCCCATGTCCATCAAAGTCCAAGTGCTAAAAAATTTTTTTCTTAGCTTACTTTGTTTCTCTACGAAAAAAGTCCATATACCAGATTATGTAGGACTAATACTTTCAAAGATAATTGCAATTTTAGTAAGAACTGTTTTAATTAATGTATTTATTAATTTTTATTTTTTGAGCACATTGAACTTTGATGGACTTGGGCGAGCCTAAGATATTGACTAGAGCTGTAGCAAACCGTTTGTATTCGTTACTGAATAACGAATACAACCTCTGACTCGAAGTACCGAATCGTTACTCACAATAATCTCGTTACTCGCATGTTCCGTATACAGTGTTGCCGCGAGCTTGAGAAAAAAGTATCAGTTGCCAAGCAGAAAAAGTATCATAAAGTATCGAAAGCAAACACAACTGTTACTTTTTAAACTTTTATTTGAAAAACAAATAGTAAATAAAATTGTATACCTAAATTCATAGTTATAAAAAAAATTTGATATTACTTGTCTATGAAAAACAGAGAGTCCTTATGCTTATTTGCATAACGATAAAACAATTTTAGGGCCCGTAAACCACACAAAATCATCGCGCAACCCGAGACTTGTACAAGTCAATACTGGGAAAATTACTACACAATAAAATTGCGCAAACCTTGTTTTGGAGAAACGTGCTCAAGTAAATATGTGCAAGAAATACTAATTCGCTCCTATCCATATTTTACAGCACGATCTGGACACCAAAATGTCAAAACTAGACTAAAAATTGCGCAGTTGACGAAATACGCAACACAAATTATTGTACAATAATGCAAGCATGAGCAAAATATCAAAATTATTTTGATTGTAGCGCAATAACTGTGCAATTAAGTACAAACAATCTCACAACTACACCACAAAAACGACCGACACAAGCCCGATATTGCGCAATGTTTTTGTGCGGTTTAATTTTATTTAAAATAGTTTCAAACATTTCTTTGTCTATTCTGAATGACTCCAGAAACCTGAATTTGGGTCTATTTTTAATAAAAGTTTAAAGAATTAAATGAAATATGTGACTTACAGTCGATCCGGCTTGTCGAAGATACGTGATCGCTCTCTCAAATGCCTGTTTTTGCAAATATGTACTACATTTCTTCGCCGTCTTATCTCCGCAATGGCGAGAGCTGTTAAAAACGGCATAACCAGCGAATATATTGAAGTTTTTTTTTTGCAAATTTGAAATCAAAGTTTAATGAGTTCTTTATTTTTAATTTTTTATTTAAGTGTCTAAAACAGCTGTTTAATTGGAATTAGTGGAAAGGAAATTGCTTGAAATGAAACACTCGAATTTGAAATCGAGAATAAATCGTACGATTACCAGAACAGTGAAAACCAATTCGTACGATTTCAGCTCAAAATCGATTCGAAAAAATTAGTGAAAACCGGAACAGGCCTGATTATTTCTCAAGTTGTATAACCGAGCAATCAATAGACAGTCATACAAGTTCCCCTTTTCTACTTGGTCATTTTGTGAACCAATCTTAAAAAGAAACTACCAGACATTCAGTCGCAGAAGAAAGTATTAAAAATTAATTACAAACACTAGAATCTAAAACGCTAATGAGGTTAGAGGTTCCCCAAATTCTTAAACAGTTACAGGCATGCTCTTCCTAAAGCAAATAAGCAAATGGATGTATAGAATTGACAACAAGAACCACGCTGTCGAGTTTAAATAGCGGCAAATCAGCTGCACTTGATAGTAGTTGGTTGAATAAGGAAAATGAATTAGCAACAAGAGTTTACGGGATGTACATAGCTCAGTGGTTAACGCTTCTGACTTTGAACATCGAATTCGCAGGTTCGATCCCTGCTGAAGTCTAGAAAAAAGAGGTCTGATAAGGAGATGTGGTGATCTCCGAAATAGATGCTATAACTTCTACCGATTAGACTTTATTGCTTTTTCAATTTTTCCTAATAAACAATCGTGGTACAAAGCTCAATAAAAATAATTAAAATAAAATGTTAATAAGCCGCAATAACATTGACAAATAATAGAATGAGGCTGAAAGAAACTATTGGTAATTATTTAAAATCCTTCGGAAAATGATTCTTTATGCATCACTAAATAAAAAAAAATTTAATGGTTTTTAATAGTGCAAACGAGCAAAAATACTAAAAACTTTAATGCATTAAAATTTATTCGTTAGCATTAGTTTGGATAATTTATTGAAAATAAATTTCATTAGCGTTATATTTTTCAGAAGTAATGCATTGAAATTTTTATTTGCATTAAATTTCAAAAATTAATGCTTTAATTTTTTACATTAGCATTATTGCTTTAAGTACCATTAAAGCTTTAAAAACTTAATGCATTTTTCACAACCCTGGTATGTATGTATGTATATTAGGGTTGTCCAAAAATGCATGTGAAAAAGTAAAGTCGGGATTTTTATGCTCTCACCCCCTCGGGATTGTTCTATACCGAAAAAATAGACCCCTGTTTTTTTATTTTGAAATCAAACAATTTTTGGAGGTCACTCAAAGCTCCCA